CCGAGTTATAGAGCGGAAGGGAAATATAATGAAGGTCAAGGTCAATGTCAAATAAAGGTTGCAGTGACCTGCATGGGTTCAGTACACGACACACTTTCTTCCCAAGATGTGTAAGTATACCAAATTTGCTCGCGCTAGGTCAATTAGGGGCCGAGTTATAGAGCGGAAGGGAAATATAATGAAGGTCAAGGTCAAGGTCAATGTCAAATAAAGGTTGCAGTGACCTGCATGGTTTCGGTACACGACACACTTTCCCTCCAAGATGTGTAAGTATACCAAATTTGGTCACGCTAGGTCTATTAGGGGCCGAGTTATAGAGCGGAAGGGAAATATGATCAAGGTCAAATAAAAGCCGCATTGACGTGGTTTTGGTACGCAGCACACATTTTTCCCAAAATGTGTAAGTATACCAAGTTTGGTAGCGCTATAGGTAAATTAGGGGCCGAGTTATGGAGCAGAAGGAAAATATGATCAAGGTAAAGGTCAAATAAAGGTTGTAGTGACCTGGTTTTGGTACGCTGCGTACCTTTTCCCCAAGATGTGTAAGTATACCAAGTTTGGTAGCGCTAGGTCAATTAGGAGCCGAGTTATAGAGCGGAAGGAAAATATGATCAAGGTCAATGTCAAGGTCAAATAAAGGTCGCAGTGACCTGGTTTTGGTACGCTGCGCACCTTCTCTCCAAGATGTGTAAGTAGACTATGTTTGGTCAAGCTAGGTCAATTAGGGGTCGAGTTATAGAGCGGAAGGGAAAGTGTCTGCGGCGGCGGCGGCGGCGGCGGCGACGGCTGGACAGACATGAAACCATAGTAGTATCCCCGCCGACTTCGTGGCGGGGGGATACAATTAATAATAAACTAAGTGGCAATTAACACGTTCACAGTCGCATCGCAGTAATAAAATATTGTCAACGAGTCAAATGCGCAACAAAGTTCAAAGCTTCGTCGTGCCAAAGTTACGATGCTTAGGTAGCGCTGTGCCCCCGTAGGTACATTCCCTAACACATACTCACACTCGAACTAAATATATATTACACAAACAAAATCTATACAAGATAACACTTAATACAGTCTGTCTGGGCAACGCAGCACACAACACACGCGCGCGAGCACGCGCATACAGTTGAGGGCCGTAGCCAGCGGAGGGGGGAGGGGGCAAGGAGGGCCGTTGCTCCCAGAAAAATTATATACAATACATGGTCAATAGCGGTCACCTTCCCAGAACACAACATACACATGGCTTTGCCCCCCCTCCAGGAAAAATTAGTTAGCTACGCAGCTACTGCAGCTGTTACAGACGTTTTACAGCGTACAAATAAATAGAGGCTCAGCTACACCTAGTTCCAGGGGTACATGAAGGCAGATCTTGAGACAGAGAGAGAGAGAGAGAGAGAGAGAGAGAGAGAGAGAGAGAGAGAGAGAGAGAGGGCAGCATGGAGAGAGTGGTCAAGTATGTAAGAACAAGCAGGGTGCGAGAATAGAAAAGGGTAGGGGGCGATAGCTATATATATGGCGAGGTAGAGCTGCAGTAGGTAGAGATAGGCGAGGTAGAGCTAGGCATGGCGAGTTACAGAGACAAGCTTACAGAACGCATTGCCGAGGTTAGGATTTTATAAGGCCATGATACAAAACCTTGCAAGTGCAATTTCCTATATCTGATAATTTATTTTAAAAGTCACACCTACTTTTGATGACAAACACAACCAAACAAACTCAGACACAAACGCGAGCACACACGCGTACGCACGCACGCACGCACGCACGCACACACACACACGTACGTACGCACGCACACACACACGCGCGTGCGCGCACACACACGCACACACACACACACACGCACGCACGCACGCACGCACACCAGGGCCGGCGGAGCCAGTCCGGCAAGTCGATCCGGCCGACCAATAATTTTTCCGATCATTATTTCTTTCAAGCACACATTTTCGTTATGCACAGGCCGGATCTACAATTATTGCAATCCCGAGCATATAATGATCTGAAATCACATATAGTTTATGTATACACGCATATATACTACTACATGACGTTGTTTTCATGTTTATAAACATTGACGTCATATGCGTCTCATTGCTGGTACCTGATCTTTTTCATTTATGTCATTGTAAAAAGGCCCTCGAAAAAAAATGTCTTTGGAAAAAATGTGGACCTTTTAAAATTTTTGGGGGGTCGTACGACCCTCACGACCCCCCCCCCTGCATACACCCATGGATTTTTATCGGGCCGATGAAATCGCGTGAAAAATCGGCTGGTGTGCGACCCCCTTTATATTGACTATCTTGCAATTAGCTCATGTTGATATGTCTTTTACCAATTAAGTGCCGTCTTTAAATAAATAAATAAATAAATATTACGAAATGCTCCAAATTTATAATTATACTACAAAAATTGGAATACAAAACGGTGAAGCAAGTCACGCGGCAACATTAAACTGCAAAAGATGCGGGGGCGAGCGCCTGCTCCGCCCCCATGAATGTGCGCATTTAGACGCAAGTAAACTGTGTTTTTACTGTAAATGTAGTTAATTATCCGAAAAATTCCAAACCTCTGTTGCCAAATAGGAACCGGGAGTTGTATGTTCATTAGCTGGGAACTGAGAAATAGCATATTTTTTATACGGAACACTGGAAATAGACCCATGTTCCTTATCTCATTTATATTTCGCAGACGGTGACGTCACCGATAGTGTTGTCATGTGACAGCATGTTTGTGTAACTACAGCATCCGGGTCATTTCTGTCTGCCATGATAAAAGATGGATGATATTTTGCGCAAGGACAAGGTGTTGGTCACGATCTTGGTTCATTTGCCAAGTTAAATATGCATTAAACCTAGATTATTTAACCGTACTAGATGTGACAAACTAATCTTAATAACTCAAATAGGTAAGTTTTAATGAATAGTGTTTAATTATTTCCAAATACCACGACGATGTTGAATCGTAGGCGTGTTGTTGTTTATCTTATTCTGTACAGTCATTGTGCACACAGACACTCCTGACCCAGTCTACACAGATATCGCAATTATAATATGATATTATATATTGCTACTAATATTCTGATGCTTCTATTATTGCGGGTCTCTTGCTTGTGTGGTTCAGTTTGTTTTACACGTAACTGCAACTAACTAAGACTAAAACGAAGTAAGACTAAGAGTCAGACTTTCTTGAGTTGAGTACTACCTGATCAATGACAATGACGTTTTCGTTTGGCAAAACCAGATTATATATACCAGAATGTTTATTATGTTTTTATTCCTATTTGCAGGCCATTTATTTCTCACTATAGGTTGTGATGTAAAGTATGTAGATAAGAAATATGAAGTGCTAGCACAGTAACATATCACTGTTGGATCGGAGGGGGAGAAACAGTAGGCCTTGCCCCTGGCCATGGAGCTATACATCGAAACTCTGACGGGCACAGCGTTTGAGTTGCGGGTGACACCGTTTGAAACAATCATGTCAATCAAGGCCAAAATCCAACGGCTCGAAGGTAACAGATAGCAGTTAGCAAGATGATATGAATAGTTTGTGATGATAAAGTGTAATCATCAGATCAGTGTCTTTACAAAGGCATGCTGGAAGTACTAACTAAATTGCTAAGGTAGTTACAATGAAATTATTAAGTAGAATTCTAGATATGAGATAACTTACAGGTGCCCGATGTTTATGCAGTAGAAAGCGTGTGGAAATATATGATACATGTACTCTCCTTGGCATGAATTTGTTACGTGTTCTCATAGCTATATGTCAAAATATAAATGTACAGATCTGTACTCTAGCAAGATCATTTATAGCATGGTTTACGTGTGCATGCATGCACACCCTTGTGAGTGTGTGTGGTAATGTGCATGTGCGGGTGCACACGTGTGTGTGTGCGGTTACTAAACTCCTACAATCTTGACCAGCTTGTTTTGATGGGTTGCGTTTGTGATGGGTCTACGGCACACATTGCTACCGCAACGCTATGATGTTCGTTGCCACGGTGCACGTTGCCACGGCGCGCATTGCCACGGCACGCGTTGCCACGGCGCGCATTGCTAACGGCGCGCGTTGCTAACTGCACGCGTTGCTAACGGCGCGCGACGCTATGGTATTCGTTGCTACGGCGCAGTTGCCACGGCGCGCATTGCTAACCGAGCGCATTGCTAACGGCGCGCGACGCTATGGTATTCGTTGCTACGGCGCAGTTGCCACGGCGCGCATTGCTAACGGCGCGTGACGCTATGGTGTTCGTTGCTACGGCGCAGTTGCCTTGGCGCGCATTGCTAACGGCGCGTGACGCTATGGTGTTCGTTGCTATGGCACACGTTGCCACGGCGCGCGACGCTATGGTATTCGTTGCTACGGCGCAGTTGCCACGGCGCGCGTTGCTAACGGCGCGCATTGCTAACCGAGCGCATTGCTACGGCGCGCGTTGCTAAAGGCGCGCGTTGCTAACGTCGCGCGTTGCTAACGGCGCGAGACGCTATGGTGTTCGTTGCTATGGCACACGTTGCCACGGCGCGTGTTGCTAACTACGCGCGTTGCTAACGGCGCGCGACGCTATGGTATTCGTTGCTAACGGCTCGCGTTGCTAACGGCGCGTGACGCTATGGTGGTCGTTGCTACGGCGCACGTTGCCACGGCACGCATTGCTAACGGAGCACGTTTCCACGGCGCATTGCCACGGCGCGCATTGCTAATGGCACGCGTTGCTATGGTATTCGTTGCTACGGCGCGGGTCACCACGACGCGCGTGGCTACGGTGCGCGTTGCCACAGCACGCATTGCTAATGGCGCGCGACGCTATGGTGTTCGTTGCTACGGAGCGCGTCACGACGGCGCGCGTTGCTACGGAGCGCGTCACCACGGCGCGCGTTGCTACGGAGCGCGTCACCACGGCGCGCGTTGCTACGGAGCGCGTCACCACGGCGCGCGTTGCTACGGAGCGCGTCACCACGGCGCGCGTTGCTACGGAGCGCGTCACCACGGCGCGCGTTGCTACGGAGCGCGTCACCACGGCGCGCGTTGCTACGGAGCGCGTCACCACGGCGCGCGTTGCTACGGAGCGCGTCACCACGGCGCGCGTTGCTACGGAGCGCGTCACCACGGCGTGCGTTGCTACGGAGCGTGTCACCACGGCGTGCGTTGCTACGGCGCGCGTTGCCACAGCGCGCGTTGCTACGGCGCGTGTCACCACTGTGCGCGTTGCTAACAGCGCGCGATGCTATGGTGTTCGTTGCTACGGCACGCGTTGCTACGGCGCACATTGCTAACGGCGCGCCTTGCCACGGCGGGCGTTGCTAACGGCGCTGCTCGTCTCGCAGGCATCCCGATCTCTCAGCAGCATCTCATCTGGCAGTCGCGCGAGCTCGAGGACGAGTTCTGCTTGCAGGACTACAGCATCACAGATGGCGCCACGTTGAAGCTGGTGCTGGCGATGCGTGGAGGACCAATCAACGCTCGTCGCGGTGAGACTTCGCTCGCGCTCGCTCACGTCGCGATATTTCTAGCTAATCAATAACTGTGTCATGTGTTGCAGGGAACAGTCATTCTTTGAAACAAAGAAAGGTGTCAGCGATTATTTAGTAATGAGATCACGACTGTCCTGTTACAGTATACTGGGCATGAAATTAGCAAAAATGTGAACAGGCCCACCCAAAATTTTAAAAAGGCCATTAATTAGACAAATTGAACAGGCCCATACAAGTTTGAACAGCCCTTAATTTTGTTTAATTTATTCCATTATTAGTAAAACTATTAATTAGCTTTGTGTTTATTAGGCATACTCGTAGTATTTCAGTATTTCATTGTTATCAGTGGAGTTCTACTTGTTTGACAGGAATTGCTGGAACATGGTTTACTTCTTAGTAGTCGCTTAGTAGTTTTTTAATTTCTACGGGAGAGAAAGGGGGGGGGGTTATTGGGAGAGGGGAGAGGCGAACTTGCTTCGCGGCCAGGAAATGTCGGTAGTGCTCGATTGTGTTGGCAGATTCGATACTGCCGTAAGTGGCTGGTTGTGCCTAAGATTTGCATAAGGGTTTCGCTGTAATACTCCTATATTTACTGTTAAAGAAAACTCGTTACAAAAATGTAGATGTGCGATTTTAGCGTGTGAAGTATTACTATAGTATTATTTGTAAAAGTTTGTGATAGTAAAAGTAGCCGACGTTAAAGACATCTTTTCGTTAGTCTTTTAACAGCTGTGAAAGTTCACAAGAAATTGCCAGCCCAATATCTATATATATAATAGTGGGAAATAAGTTCTCAACGATCTAGGTAACATTGTTTATTGTGCACAAAAGCAAATTAATGTATAATTTAGTAAACGAACGGCGTCAGCAAAGCATTGCTGTGAAAGTTACAGCAATAAACGTATCGGTAAATTTTCTAGGTATACTATATATGCTATTGTTTATGCAGTTACTATCATATTATACTCTAAAATTATAGGGGGAGTATCCCTTTTATCGGTGCGTACACTTGGTGGTTTATCCGTGGCGTAATTTCATTTGTTTAACATCTCGCAGTGCCCTTGCCGGATGACAGCTCCATGAGTCTGAGGGAGATCACAGAGTATGTGGAGGCCAACAGGTATATGAAACACTGTAGCAACGTATTAGCCAGGAATGAGTATTGTGGGAGTGCAGAAAAAATATTTGCGAGTGCAATTTTTGTGTGTGTGTGTCTTTAGATCAATATTTTAGGCCATGCTACATATTTTTCGCCGTGCAGTTTCAAAACTGACCGTGCACATCACGGCTTCACGGCTCGCTGGCTAATACGTTGCTCTGTAGGCATGCATTGATCACTAAAATAAACAGCAAAACTGAATGGCCTGATCTGTCACGCAGTGGAAATCCTATGTAACGTAATGCAACATACAGTGACCTCACCCCCATCCCCCGCACCCCGCCCCGCCCTGCATTGGTGCGGGTGAAAGGAGGGGGATCATGCGAGAGAGCTCCATCATACCGGTGACTCATCGTCGGATCGTGCGAGGGTTCATCGTCATCCCGGTAACTCATCGTCGGGAGGGGTTTCCCCCTCATCCCAATGACTCATCGTTGGGAGGGATTTCCTCCTCATCCCAGTGACTCATCGTCGGATCGTGCGAGGGTTTTCCCCCTCATCCCAATGACTCATCGTCGGGAGGGATTACCCCTCATCCCAGTGACTCATCGTCGGATCGTGCGAGCGTTTCCCCCTTCATCCCGGTGACTCATCGTCGTTGCAGGGATGAGATCTGGGAGAAGCTTCCAGGAAACAGGCAGGTGACGTTGCTCGTCTTCCGCGAAGGGGACCAGCTCAACTTCTTCCGCGTCGTTGACCGAGGCGACGGCACGCTGACGCCGCTTTCCGAGTCCCTCAGGTAGGCAGGGGTAGAAATTAACTTTTGAACAAGGGGAGACCAATGGACTCCCCGCCCTTAAAAAGAGGGAGTCCGCAGCAAAATGAGGGAGCCCGCAGTCTGAGGTTCAAAATTAAAGATAGTAAAACGATTATTGCGAGAATTTCCCAGTGTTTTGACCACTGTCTAGAGTAACAATAAAATGTCTTAGAACGGCTTCGTATTCACCAAAAACTTGCCAAGTTTCGAACTTACTGGTTTCGAACATGTTTTCGTAAACATGGTCGTTTCTCTGTTATCTTGAACTAGGCGCGAAGATGGCGGGGAATTAGACCGTTGTGGCGCCACCGCTTTATCTGCCATAGACAAAGCATAATGGCTCTCTCAAATCATTGCACAGTTGTTTTCAATTAATCACGACACACAATAAAGTTTACCAATTCTGCCATTAGCATTGTCGGCCGACACGATAAAATGCATTGCTGTTACGATGTGTTTCATAATCCAATTTTCTTATGCTATAAACTACAATAAAATCTTAGTATTTTTAATGTTGGTGTAATCATGATATTTTTAGCTGTCAGGTGAGACTATATTCAGGCTACATTTAGTTTTTCTGAGCAAAAATCTCGCATATAGTCATTTTAACAATAACGCATGTGCATATTGGAAGATTCATGCGGTGTGCACGTAGTGCATGATTCCCGATGATCGATTTATAATCAAAAATCGATCGATTATAGTCTCAAATTCGATAATCGATTATGAAAACAAATAATCTATTTATCGGAAATACCAAAAACAAACAAACAAGGAACTGTACTCACGATGTGGTGAATTGATTATGACAAGTAGAGCACAAGTCCTGCGAGGGGCCCGTTGTCATGAACATTCGTAAAGTAATGGCTAATGTTAATGGCTAGCGATAACACTTACGACTAATGTTAATTTGCTACGAGAGTAGCTGTGACTAGAAACACTGCTCTAGCTACGACAAACTCACGATAACAGCAACTTCATAATTTCAGTCAGCAAGCCTAATTTATGCATATTTATGATGGCCTACCACATAATAAATAATATTTGATGATAAAATTACGTGGTCATGAAAATTTATTCTGCGCACTACAGACAAAATAATGTTTTATAACAAATAAGGCATATTTAAACCAATTTCTTTTATAAATTGATTGAATTACTGTAATAGCGAACAGACATTGATGTACATTACAGCAAACTTCACAGAGTTAATACATGATCATAAAACATCGATAATAATTGCATGCTAATCGCTATAATTGTATATACAAAATAAGATTAAAATTTAAATCTATGCTATTAATTAAATGCCGGACTATGCGCATCCAAACGCTAATTTTCCAGTTACTAGACTAGCAAATACTTTGTGTCATGCATAATCACACTACCTTATGGCAAAATAACTCTAGCTTCCTCCCATTTCAGTGCTGCGTTTGCTTAAGACCACAAAAAGAGGTGCGAAATCTGGTAATCTGGCGGAAGCCAACGCTAAAATTGTTTGCAAACAATTTCGCAAGAAATCGCGTTAGGTGACGTCACATGTTTTTATCTTTGCTACACCTGTACCGCTGCTACCCGCAGCACCGCTCCACGGGTTGCTTGGCAGAGCAAAACGCCGAAAGTGTCAACTACATCGCGAGAATTTGAACAACATTGAGGTATTTTCAATGGCCTTTTATAAAACGAACGCGCAGTGAATATGGTGAGGCAACTAGAGTTTATTGTGTTGTCATAGGTAGTTGATTCTATGCCCATGGATACGAAGTATTTGCTAGTCTAGCTATTTGGAGGAAATTAGGTTTCGTTTCGGGATGCGCATAGTGCGGCTTTAACCGATTATTCAATTATAATCGATTATCGATCGGTTATGAAATTCCAGCCGATTCCCATCACTAGTTGCACATCTGCCAAATTTTCTTTGGACATTTGCTGGAAAAATACGGTAATACTGTGAGGTCGTGCTCTAGAACGAACTAGTTAGTAGGTATATATAGCAGAATTTTCAGCGAGTCACACGGACTCCTGCATAATATGTCAAATCAGGGAGTATTTGACTCCGGACTCGCGTTAATTTTGCACCCTAGGTAGGTGCTGCCGCCACATGGAGCGCGCGCGAACCACGTCGATCGCCCAATCACCGTTTAGCTGACGACGTTTTGCTAAAAAATTTGTTGCCGTTCCTGATTGTGAGATTCACTGATGGTTTTTTTAAATTTATTCATGGTGGCCGATACTCCTTAACTTTTGCTGATATTCCCTAACATTTGCTAATATTTCCAGACATCAGTGACTGCCTTTATGTGGGCTGACAGTTGCTGTCATTTGTTTACATTTTGCTGTTATTTGTTGACATTTGCTGATGTTCACTAGCGTCATCTGACATTTCTCTGATATTTTGCTGAAAATTTGTCAAAATTGGCTGACACCTGCTGATGTTCCCTTACGTTCCCTGACATTCTCTGACATTTCTGTGACATTCTATGATATTTTCTGACATCTCTTGCATTGTTGACATTCTCTGACATTCTCTGACATTCCCTCACATTCTCTAACATTCCCTCGCATTCTCTGACATTCCCCCACGTTTCCTGACATTCCTAATTCTTTGACATTCTCTGACGATTGGCTCTACCTTTATGCATTCTCTGACATTCGCTAGTGGCATTTCTCTGACATTCATGCATTGACATCCCATGTTTCCTGACATTCTCTGACATTCCCTTGCATTCTCTGACATTCCTTTGCATTCTCTGACATTCCCTGGCATTCTCTGACATTCCCCCACGTTCCCTGACATTCCCTGGCATTCTCTGACATTCCCTGGCATTCCCTGACCTTGTCTGACATTCCCTGCCATCCTCTAACATTCCCTTGCATTCTCTGACATTCCCTTGCATTCTCGGACATTCCCTTGCATTCTCTGACATTCCCTTGCATTCTCTGACATTCCCCGGCATTCTCTAACATTCCCTGGCATTCTCTGACACTCCCTGGCATTCTCTGACATTCTCTGACTTTCTCTGATATTCGCTGACGTCTGCTATGCTCTTGCTTCTTCGTTTAGCGGCACTGCCGTCTGTAACTACCTTGAGGAGGATGACGAGGAGGAGGAGGAAGAGGAGGAGGTGGAGACAGAGAGTCTGCACAAGGTCGCGGAGAACGAGGAGACGCGATCAAAGATGCGCGCGCTCAGGAGCAAGATGGAGTGCATGACCCTCACCAAGAAGGTAGCTGTGTATCTCTGTGTGTGCGCGTGCATACGATCGTCGACGTCTTAGCCAGCGAGCCGTGCAGCCGTGATTTGCACAGTCAGCTTTGAAACTGCACGGCCAAAAACTTGTAGCACGGCCTAAATTATTGATCCATTGTCTTGGCTGAGATACACATACAAAAAAATTGCACTCCCACAATACTCATTCCTGGCTAATACTCTGACGATCGTGGGTGTGTGCGTGTTCCCCACGAAGGTAGTTCTGTGTGTGCGCGTGTGCACGAACGTGGGTGTGCGTGTTGCACACCTCATGGAATGGTGTATCGGGATTTGCCGTATCCATGTGTATCGGTGAATCGTTACACCTCCAATAAATAAACAAATAAATATATTTATTTATTTACTTATTTATTTATTTATTTATACAAACAATATGACAACTTAATAATATTATGATATGTATAACTAGATGACATGATCTCGGTCTGGTGTGTCTACCTCCTTTCTCACGCAGCCCCAGCAGCATGTGTAGCTTCACCTTCATCATTTCTCTCTCTCCCTCCTCTCTCACACTCTCTCCTCTCTCTCGCTCTCCCTCCTCTCTCACGCTCTCCCTCCTCTCTCTCGCTCTGATCCTCCTCTCTGCAGCGCTCTCCCTCCTCTCTCAGATCGCCTGCTGCCCTCCTCTCTCACGCTCTCCCTCCTCTCTCACGCTCTCCCTCCTCTCTCACGCTCTCCCTCCTCTCTCTGCTCTCCCTCCTCTCACGCTCTCCCTTCCTCTCTCTTGGCTCTCTCCTCCTCTCACGGCTCTCTCCTCCTTCTCTCTCGCGCTCTCCTCTCCTCTCTCACGCCTCTCCCTCCTCTCTCAGTTTCGTCGCTCTCCTCCTCTTCGTCGCTCTCCGCTCTTCTCTCACCCTCTCTCCTGCTCCTCTCTCACGCTCTTCTCTCCTTCTCTTATCACGCTCTTCCTCCTCTTCTCGTCGCTCTCCCTCCTACTCCTCAGTCTCCCTCCTCTGCTCTGCTTCCCTCTCACCTCTCTCCTTCTCCACGGCTCCGTCTCTGCATCTCTTGCGAACGCCCAACGGCAGCGTTGCAAGAAGCCGAGTACGCTTCGTCGCGCCCGCCGCACCGCCTGCAGTCGTGACGGGAGCATCCGGCTTCGCCGCGCAGCGAGCGGTTCCGTCTCCGCGCTAACGCGGCGGCGCGTCAGCTGCAAGCTGCCGCCGGTCGGCACGTCGTCAGCAGCGTTCCGAGTCGAGCCCCCAACGCGTCGCCGGGGAGATGGCAACGCCGCTGACACCGACGGTGACTGTGAACAGCGGCAGCCGGCCTCGGCGTTGCACGTCGCTAGGTACGTGCGAAATTAAATTAAATTTTAAAATTAAATTTATATTTATTATGAATTATGAATGAAATTGGAAATGAAGTTATGGTGTGCAGTTACGGTACGTGCGATCTGTAAATGTTTGTGTAGTAGTTTCTCTCCTCGTCCTCGCCGTCTCCTCTCTTCGTTCGGTCTCTCTCTCATCTCTCTCTCATCTCATTCTGCTCTGCTCATGCTCTGATCTGCTCTCGGTGCTCGTCTCTTTCCCATCCCTCTCCTATCTCTCCCACCGTCCCTCTCTCTCCCATCCCTCTCTATCTCTCCCACCGTCCCTCTCTCTCTCTCTCATCCCTCTCTATCTCTCCCACCGTCCCTCTCTCTCTCTCACCCTCTCTCTCACGCCGTCGTTGACGCGTCGTCGTCTGCCTTCACAGAGCTCGGCAGCAAGGTGATGTGCGCTTCGTTGCCTAGCAACCTCTCTGGCTCGTTAGCGGACATGCTGGAAGCCGTCAGCAGCAGCACGGAGTCGGAGCCGGACGCTCCGACGGCGGCGTACCCTGGTGGCAGCGCGGCGGCGGCGATGCGCGCGCGCTACATCTCGCGCTACAGCGACAGCAGCGATCTCTCGCAGCTCGACTCCGACCCCGGCCCTCCGAAGGTCGCGGCGGCGACGGGAGCGAAGAGTAAACACAAGAGCATCGCCGCGGGGGAGCACGCCGTGAAGAGGAAGCAGGGAGGAGCCGGGGAGAAGCCGAGAGGGGGGAGGGCGACGCGCGACGACGAGGACGTCCCGCGGGAACCGCGCCCGTGCCGCGGCCGGGCAGCGCGAAGGTGGCGCCCCCGGTGGGGGGCGTGCGCGTCGCGTCGTGGCGCGGCGGTCGCCTCGACGCGGCGGCGGCGGGCAACACGTCGTCGAACACTGAGGACGCGTTTACGGACAGCGGCGTTGAGAACACGTCGTCGGGCGAGCTCTCCGGCGCCCTCTCTCGCTCGCTCGCGCGATACTCGCTCCGCGGACGCAGCGTCGTCTCGCCAGGGGGCGCCTCTGCCACCGCCGCCGAGCTCAAGCTGATTGGCTCGCGGCTCGACCCGCGGCTCCGCCTGCAACCGATTTCGGCGGTCGACGCGAAACCCAAGGACGCGCCGCAGCCGCCGCCGACGACGACGCAGCAGCAACACAAGAGCGTGCATCGCGGCGCGGCGGCGGCGTCCGACCACCGCAAGCTCGAACTGGTCGCAGCGGCCGGCGGTCGCCGCGGCAACGAACTGCCGAGTATCCACGCGAGGCTGCGGCGCGAGAGTCAGAGCTTCAACGATGGTGGGGGCGGGGGGATGGCGAGGGGTCGCCTCGGCCTCGACAAGCGGAAGGAGTCGAGCCTTGATAGTCTGATGGCAGCGCGGCTGGAGCGCGCCGACTCGGCGGCCGCCGCAGCAGCCGACGTCATCAGCAAGGCTTCATCACTCGACACGCTGCGCCACGCCGACGCGCCACGCAGCAGTGGCGCCCTCGTGCGGGCCATCGCGCGCGACAACCTCAGCTCAAGTAAGTTTTGGTGAGGGGAGAGGTGGGGAGGGGAGGGGGTAGGGGCAGAGGGAGAGTGGGTGGGAGAAGGGAGCGAGGGTGGTAATGGGGTTGGAAGCTCGCAGGTTGAGGGGGTTGGGAGTAAGTGGAGAAGGGAGAGGGTTGAGAGTGAGTGGGAGAAGAGAGAGGGTTGAGAGTGAGTGGGAGAAGAGAGAGGGTTGAGAGTGAGTGGGAGAAGGGAGAGGGTTGAGAGTGAGTGGGAGAAGAGGGGGTTGAGAGTGAGTTGGGAGAGGAGTAGAGGGTTGAGAGTGAGTCGGAGAAGGGAGAGGGTGTGAGAGTGATGTGGAGAAGAGAGAGGGTTGATAGAGCTGAGTGGAGAAAGGAGAGGTGTTGACGAGTGAGTGGGAGGTAAGTGGGAGAAGAAAGAGGGTTGAGCGGAGTGGGAGAAGAGAGAGGGTTGAGAGGAGTGGGAGAGTGGAGAAGAGAGAGGGTTGAGAGTGAGTGGGAGAAGGGAGAGGGTTGAGAGTGAGTGGGAGTAAGTGGGAGAAGAGAGAGGGTTGAGAGTGAGTGGGAGAAGGGAGAGGCTGTTGAGAGTGAGTGGGAGAAGGGAGAGGGTGATGAGGAGTGGTGAGTAAGTGGGAGAGAAGAGGGTTGAGAGTGAGTGGGGAAGTGAGGGTGAGAGGAGTGGGAAAAGGAGAGTGAGTGAGTAAGTGGAGAAGAAAGAGGGTTGAGATGAGTGGGAGAAGAGAGATGGTGTTGAAGTGAGTCGGGTAAGTGTGAGAGCAGAAAGAGGTTGAATGAGGTGGTAGAAGAGATAGTGGTTGAGAAGTGAGTGGAGTCGGGAGGGGTTGAGAGTGAGTGGGAGTAGGGAGTGGGTTGAGAGTGAATGGGAGTAGGGAGTGGGTTGAGAGTGAGTGGGAGTAGGGAGCGGGTTGAGAGTGAGTGGGAGTAGGGAGTGGGTTGAGAGTGAGTGGGAGTGAGTGGGAGTAGGGAACGTATTGGGAGTGAGTGGGAGAAGGGAGTGGGTTGAGAGTGAGTGGGAGTAGGGAGTGGGTTGAGAGTGAGTGGGAGTAGGGAGCGGGTTGAGAGTGAGTGGGAGTAGGGAGTGGGTTGAGAGTGAGTGGGAGTGAGTGGGAGTAGGGAACGTATTGAGAGTGAGTGGGAGTAGGGAGCGGGTTGAGAGTGAGTGGGAGTAGGGAG